ATTTGGAAAAGGATAGTGAGAATAGCAGCACAACTGGAAGAATGTAATCGATGTCACTGAATTGTACATGTAGAAACTTTCAAAATGGTGTAACTTTGGCTATGTATATTTTCACCAAAAAAAAAAAAAGGTCCTCCAAGGTCAAGAAGGGAGAGTGATGACATGTCGTGGGGTTGTTAACCAATGTCATAAAACAATATGTATATTGACTGTTTAATGAGAAACTATTTGTTCTGTAAACCTTCATCAAAAGTACAATAAAAATTAAAAAAAATAAAAGGAATTACAAACCTGAAGATATATCAGAATGCAGTATTTTGATATTAACGGTTCCACAGGTATTTCAAAGGAGACTTCTTACAAATAAACTCAGATTCTTTTATAGTTAAAAGATTTAGAAATAAAATAGTAATAATAAATATGACAGTTATAAAGTAGACAGCAGGGTTTATTCTCTAAGATTGTATCCTGATAAATTTTTCCTGTCTTTAGCTAACAAGTTCTTTTAAATCTTATTTTCCACAATGAATTAGTATCATTAACCCCTTAACGCCTCAGTTCCTTTTCATTAGCATTTGCTAATTAGAAAACTGCAGTCACCGCCCTTACAGTTGTTATTCTCAGAAATAATTTCAAAAAAATGTTGGCCTTGTAGAAATCAAGGACTTAATTTTCTCCCTCCACAATTCCATTTTTCAAATTGAATGGGTTAACTGGGAGTTTACCATGTAATTCAAGCAACATTAACATTGTATGAACTGAAAATAAACTATGTAAAAAAAGGACTGAACAGTTTTAAGATACCATGTATGCTTAAATGTTAGTCAAGCTTTTTTCTTTTTCTCTAAAATTATCCCATTGAAAAGAGTATGGAGCTTTACTCTATTTTGAAGACTTAATTACTTTTGAGTAATAATGTCTTTGGGGGAAAACAATCTGAAATGGCTGCAATTAAAAGCAGTTTTGGGATATGTACACAGATTTTAAAAAGCATATACTGCAAACCACTTCAAAGTGAGGATGAAATGCTTTGGAAAACTGTTAGAAGGCTCAAAAAAGTTCTAATGCTGACAAAGATACATTAATATCAGAGATATGTGAAAGGACACTAAGTGAAATTGATTTACAAAATATAGAAAAAAATAATTTAAAAATATTTTTATACAATTGAGTACTCAAATAAACCAAATACTATAAATTGACATTTTAAACATTTCTATCCCTGAAAGTTTACGTATTTAAGTTTACCAAAATATTTTGGGAGACTCTTCTCATTGGAAGAATGAGGCACAGGCTTTATTTGGCTGGATTCAGAACTCAAGCTTTAGAGGCACTTTTACATTATTACTAGAAGTCAAAGTGAGAGGCTTACCTGAACACCTCCACTCATGTATCATCCGGTTGTTCCTCTATTCCTTTATTTTGTTTTTTTTTTAATATCACTTATCAAGACATGAAATTATTTATTTACATGTTTATTACATCCATCTTTTGACTAGAAAGAAAATTGCACGAGGGCAGGGATTTTGGCTTTTCATATGAAATTCCAGGTAGCAGTGAAGTCTGTATGAATGGGGAGAAAAGGCAGGCAGGAGGTGAAGGCAAACGCTGCTGGAGTAGAAGAGGTCCCCAACAGCTTAGAGTCATCTTGTTAAGTCAGTCCACGGCGGGCTGTTTTTCACGCACTAGCTATGTCCTAACCCAGGACTGTCCATATTTATGCCCTTTATTCAAGAAACAAACAAACCACCCTGAAACTAAAAAGAATCCAGTTTATTCAGATAATTATTCAAGTTCCAAAACAACAATATTTACAGACAAGCAGGTTTCCTCAATTATAATGTGTCTTCACATCTCAATTTTGTTCTAATTTTACTTTTAGAATCAAAACATATACTTGAGAGAAAAAAAAACCTCCACTGTTTTTCCTATTATGTTTCAAAGTGCAGATTATTTTCATTAATTGAATATTTAAGTAAGGTTTCTTTTTAAGAAATTAAAACCTATGAAATGAAATAATCACGAAGACAAGATCAACAGAATATGAGTTGTTTCAGAAAGAGTCCTTAACAAGAATATTTAACTATTAGTTTACCTAAATAGTTTTTTAATAGTAAACCTCATAACATCTTTCCATTACCAAATATAAACCAAATGGCTGAGTCAAAGTCATTTTTTGAGTAACAGCTAACATTATTGCTTTAATACCTTCAAGAATTCTGGTTTTGACAATTTTTCAATGAAACAACTACATTGACAAAAATATAGTTATCTTAATATTGCTTTAATTCTACAGTATTTTCAAATTCCTTGTTTCTTTCAGTTGCAGTTCTCTGACCTTCCCTTTTTAAAGATCTGTTTGTTAGAGAAGAACTCTATTCCACCTACTGTTAGTATCCCTCAAGAGGTCTATCCTGGGGGTTTCTCAATGTTTTTCTAAATTGAAAAATTAGTTATTCTATAATAAGCAGAGCTGAATTATACTGTATTTGGAAGGCTATGCTAGCTAACACGTCTGCTAACATAACAAATTTGAGAAAACAGTGAAGCTTTGCTAGCTAGCTATCTGTTCAGATTCAGCCAGAGCAAACTTCTTGTCACATTTTATTGTCCCACTAGCACTTGCGAAAGCTCCATCTACTTGTGAGGGATCTTTCTGACAGGATGTTACAAAGAACGAGATTGGCTGTTGAACAAGAAAAGGTAATGTACGGGCAGAAAGGTTGCTCAAGGCCACAGTTACAAACTACATTCCTGTTGTCCAACAATGATCATTACTAAGAGATTTTTTTTTTTACTTTTGCAGAATGTTTAACAAGAAAAAAAATCTATGACTACAGCATTAAAAAAACTATTTGTGTTGCATTATTTACATTATTACAATATGACTAATTTTAACTTAACAGCAAAAGCTAAAGATATTATTCCCTATTGTTTGCTACAAAATTATTAAAAGAACCACTTAAATTGTGAAATACAAATACGAAAGAAATAATCTTGTGGAAAGGGCTCTTATAGAAAAGGGTATTAAATGTGCTTTCATTTCAATATAATAAACTAAAAATGCTTCAAATAGAAAATTTAAAAAAATCTCTACTCAGGGAAACACTTAAAATATGCAAACCAGCTTCTCTATTAAAAACCGTTTATAAATAAAAACTATAAAATATTGAAATTCAAGAAATTTTCCGTGTCAGGCGCAGCAGAATTATAAATTACAAGAATAACGCATCAAGAATTATAAAATTATAGGTCTGATGACCAATCCTAGAAAAAAAAATCCTACTTTCATCTAAGTCCAATGGTACAACATAAACAATGTATTAAAAATATCAGCAACAAGAACGTTTTAATGAGTTTACTACTACTGCTTCATCTTAATCATAGTAAACGTCATATTCAATCCGTTTATGCCGTTAGAATAACCTCAAAGAAAATCTTTATAATTGTACTGATACCAACAGTTTAAAAAATAAATTTCAAAATATTATGTCAATGCTTCTGATGGTTAGGTAGGTATTAAAAAGAACAGCCTGCTTCCGATGTTAGAAGCTGATCTCCTATTGCCTTATGTGACACACTGCTGCATTTAAAGACTGTATAAAGAGCTGTAGGATTTATACTTCCTACCACATTTCCATGCATTTTAAAATGTTAAAAATATGTAAGTAAAAAATACTTGAAAAAACTTCTTAAATCTCCTTTATTTCAATAGACAGAAGACTATTTTCGATGTCCTGGCTGAAAGGATTCTTGTTGCCATGGAGCTGGAAGAAAAAAACCCACAAAAATTTGAGATAAGTTAACGATGCAGACTAACAGTACCTAATGGTATAGTGGAAAGAACCCGAGTGTAAGTTAGAGCCAAAGAGATTGGAGTTCAAACTGCACACCTGCCCTTCACTTGCCATGAGATCCAGAGAAAGTTATTTAAGGCTTCCCGAGGAGTAATTTCCTCATCTGTAAGAGAACAGTATCTCTACATCTCTCTCAGGCACCCTAAGACAATTAAATGGAATGAATGGTGTAACATGCCTGGTACATGGGGCTCACTGAAGGCCCTTCCTTTTGTTCCACTTTCTGGTCATGAATACGCAAGCATTATGAGCAAAACAGCGACAAGCGGACCATACGGATTTCCCCATCTTTAAAGGGATGCAGGCTAAGTGGGAGAAATGCTCTCTAAGGATTATAAATCCCCACGAAAACTAAAAGATGTCTTTATAAACACAGCAGCTGCCTTCTAATTATTTTTTTAGAGTGACTTTTGGATAGTATAAGAAGTAGACAATTGTTTTCTTTTCACTTAGCTAATATAACCAAGAGGGTAACACTATTTTTGAAAGCTAACCCTTTCACGTGCTCAGGGGTACACACAGCGACCATGAACTCCGTCAGCCCCTGGGGTTTATTGGGAAGGTGCTGTCCCACTGACAAGGCGTGCTGCCACAAGGCAGGGGCCTTTACGACTGTTTGTAACCGAAGAAACAGGTGTGTGCTGCAAATAACTCTTTTCACATACAGGGCATTGTCTGAGGTGTCTGAATTCTTGGCAGGAAAAACAGAAATGGTGAAAATATTTGTTACACATATGGACCAAAAGACCCCGGTGGGGACTCTGGGGTATAATTAGTGAACTTCATATGTAACACTAAACACTAAGGGCAGGCTGTGGGAGGGGGCAAGAAAAAAAAAATCACACTACCTACTAAAAATTCAGACACGCTCAGTGATCCAGCATGCTTCCATTAAGGAAAACACATGATATGAACAAAAAATTCAAAGCAGAAAATAATTGGGTCAGCAAAGGGTTAAAGCTGGATTTAGCTCCACAGCCATCTTTTAATATTACAAACAGCTGGAATATTAAAGAACCCAAGAAAGCCCAAACCAGGAGAAGCTTTATGAAACAACTCTGTCTCAAGATTTGCTAGTTCAGAAACTGAAGTATCTATTTTAATTCATAGGTCTGCCACATCAACTATGCTTGATGTGACTGTCATTAGAGAAGCAGTATGAAATTAATCGTAAAGGAAAAAGCCACGTCATATACTTCCTCCCCGTTTCTTTCTCCTCCTCCTTTATAGTTTTCCTTCAGCTTCTGTTTTAGGTACGAACGTTCTAGTCCTGTTTAAACTCATTTGGTGGGAAAGGGAGAGAAGGGAAAGAGATGGACACAGATAATTACAATACCTCGTTAATATTCACACGCCTTACCATGTAAGAAAAGCACTCACAAAAGTACTGTGGAAGTACTGGAGGGATTGTCATACAGCAAGAAGTGCAATGTGGTTTGAGTAGAGGCAGAACTGGTGAGAGAGGAGACTGGATACACAGGATTGCGAATGGCCCTGAATTCTAAGCTAAAGTACTTGTATTTTATCCTATAGGTAATAGGGAACCAGTGGGGGTTCCAATGTAGGGCTGCTGACATGATCAGATTTCTTAATTAGAAACAGAACCAGGTTAACTAGCCACTTCTTGTCCAGTTGAGACAAATGATCTGTCAGCTAATTTTTGCTACTTACAATTTGTAAGAGTATCCAGGATTTTGAAACAGCTTTTTAAGAGAAATTTTCCTGCATTTCTCTGTTTAAGATGTTAACCTCTGATGGTAGAATATTTTCAGTGTTAATGTACAACTGTTTTTTTTCCCTGCAGAATTACTATTTTTAAAAAAAACTGCTTTAACTCTAGTAAATGAACATTTATTTCAATTTAATTTAAAAACCCTATTTTCTAATAATGACATTTAGAAAATAGTTATCTGTTTAAAAGAGTAAAATTTTCAAGTTCTAGTGGCAAACTATCAAGTTCTTCTACCAATATATTTCAATTCACTCCATTCACCTACACCAAGATACTATTATTAGAACTCAGAGAGAGAGGGAGAGGAAGTAAGATCTCTTTATCTTATTAAAGTTCCTTTTTCCACCTTGTTTTATTCCTCTTAATTATCAAAATAATATATGCTCACAGTAGAAAATATAGAAAACAAAGAAAAATACTCTCCACACATCCCAAATTTTATCACCCAGAGGCAGACAACTGTTGGTGTATTTCCTTTCAGTATTTCTATGTCTTTATTTATATAGGTTAAGTTTTCATGACATAGTTTTAAAAATGTGACACAGTGGTTAAGAGCTACGGCTGCTAAACAAAAGGTCAGCAGTGCGAATCCACCAGCTGCTCCTTGGAAACTCTATGGGGCAGTTCTCCTCTGTCCTACAGGGTCACTCATTAAAAACTTTCATAAACCTTTTAATGGATGCATCATATTTCACTTTATGGATTAACTGTAAATTTATCTGTCCTCTAAAGTTGGATTTTATTGAAGGACATATTAAAGATACTACTCTTTTTTTAAATCTGACAGCTAGATTCCCACCTGACAACACAATTCAACTCCACCTAATGCATGAAAAACTCTAAAAATCTGCACAGAAAAGTGACTGCTATATATGATCACTTGTTTTGGATTCCAATCCCATGAATGTACAAAGTTAAAAGCAAAACATCAGTGAAGCAAGTATTGAAACTTGTGAAACTCACCGTAAGTCCAAGGAACTCCTGGAGGCACACCAGGACCAGGTGGGTAAGGGCATGCAGCTTGCGGTACAGGCTGATGGGAAGCAGACTGTGGAATAACCGTCTGAAAATTGTAGGAAATTGGCATCTGAGACTGAAAATACCCATTCACTGGCACAAAGTCATTTGCTTGTGGCTCCTCAGCAAAGTAACCAAAATATTGAGAGTAAGAAAGATCAGAATGTGTGTTCTGGACAGTATTTGCAACTGCAGTCAACATCCCAGAAGAAAATGGCTGTGTTTCGTAAGATGTTATCCTCTGGTATGTCTGGGTTACAGAATTGCCATCAATGCTACTGTAATGATAAACACACCACGCATAGTAAGGATATGAAGTTCCAGATGAATGTTCAGAAGAATTACATACTGGGGTACATGCGCACTGGGGCAGTTCATTCCAATACACGGCAACATTCTGAGGCAGAGCTTTTGAATTTTCACTGCTCCGTTGTTCAGAAAAAGAGTGCTCTGCTGTCCGATTCACATCAAGGGTTATGCCTCCAGATGCTCCAGCAGAAACAGTACTGGGATTCAATACATCCTTCATGTATTTTTCCTTTGATTCAATTTTTGCAGGCTCCGTTTTGTTTATTTGAAGAACAGGAATTTTGTTCTGAATAAACATAGGTTCTGGAGAACTGGTGCCTGTGGAGTTTTTCATGGACGAATTTAGTATGTCATTATCTTGAAGTTCAAGGACAGAGTCGTTCATTTCTAGATTGGCATGGATATCCCTCACAAAATGGAAAATAGGCTTTGAAAGCACTGATGTATTAGGCAGAAAAGAAGTATCAGTTCCTGGTTTTATGTCTGAAGGACAAGATTTCTGTGCAGGATCTGGGGAAATTTTATGAAATTTCTGTGGAGGTGTCTCGTGGTCTTTTGAAAATGTGTCATCTAAAGTTTTCTGGTCATAAATTGCAAAAATGGAACAATCTTTCTTATTATTTTTTTCCTCAGCAGCACTAAAATTCACATTTCTTTCCTTTGTGCTGTTTAAGTTTCTCTGTTGCCCAGTATAGTCTTCTGAAGTATCAGCTGAAATCTTAGTTAAATCTATTATTTCGCTTTCTGAATTTGACATGCAAGTGTCCTTTAAGACCTCTAAAGGTGAAAGTGAGCCCAGTGGTGATCTTGGCATTTCAACCTTTTTTGGAGATACGTGGTTTCTTTTCAGATTGTCAGATAAACTTGGTCCTATTTTGCTTTCACTTTTGGAATGAGATCTTGTAGTCCTATTAGGTATTAACACATACATACATACAGACAACTTTAAATATGCAGATTCACAAATTTTTAATAATCTATTTGAAATTTTTATTTAACAGGACTTCTGAAGATTTACATTTTTCTCTTTATATTGGCAATATAAAAACCAGCAAACCAGTTGCTGTTGAGATGATTCTGACTCATAGTGACCTCGTGTATGTCAGAAAAGAACTGTGCTCCACAGGATTTTCAATAGCTGATTTTTCAAAAGTAGATTGCCAGGTCTTTCTTCCAAGGCACCTCTGGGTGGACTTGAACTGTCAACCTTTTGGTTAGCAGCTGACAGCATTAGGAGCCCTGGTGGCGCCGTGGTTAACCAAAAAGGTTGGCAGTTTGAATCCACCAGCTGCTTCTTGGAAATCCAATGGAGCAATTCTACCCTGTCCTATAGGGTCACTATGAGTCGGAATCGACTTGACAGCAACAGGTTTGGTTTTTTTGTTTTTTTGAGAGCGTTAACCATTTGCACCACTCAGCGACTCTGATGGCAATACACAACATGTTTTCCCAATTTTACTCTCTATGTCTGAAGTTAAGATACTTTTCCTATGGGAAGATGATATACTCCACATTTCAAATATATTTCCAATATTGTAATAAATCACTTTGTGCTTTGGATATTTCTTGATAAGAGGCCTTTAAAAGTAGGAAGCTGTCATTATGTAACTGGTTACTTTAAGTTTCTAATTCATGTGTCTCCAACCCATTGACAATCTTCTTTACTTGTAAACAGCAATCCAGAGCTGGTGAAACTATCAGCTGGGCACGCCTCAAAGACCTCTTCACTGTCTGTTATCACAAACTACTAAGTTTTTTGCCTGTTATATTTTGAGAATAGGAAGGGCGGAATTCCAAAATTTCTTGCCAATTTAATATTCTTGACATACTTATCTAAATTTAGACAGTCTCAAGCAGGCTGAGGGAAGCATCCATTAAGGACATGTCTAGAGCCTGACAGGTAACATACGTTCTCTAGGTAAGTGTATTTTTTGGTGCTTCATCAATTTTTTAAAAATTCTATGTGGAAAGTAGCACGTTGAGAAGAGCAAAGAACCACTCTTCTACAGTCAAGAGAAGTTAACCTTTGGCCTGGATTTGTATATTCCACATAGAAAACTAAAAGCCCCACATTTTACAGAATCCGGTCTTCTTAAAAGGCACTTTAATAACAACCAACATCATCAGCCAACCCCATACAATACTTTACAGAAAGTACAATTTTATTAAAATCACATTTCCAGTGATATTTCAGAGATGTCTCAACCTACAAGGCTGGCAGCTGTCTAGATGGTCAGTTCCTTTATTCACTCTCTTACTCTTTTTATGGAAGAACACAGCATATAATCTAAGTTCTAACTTTATATTCAAATTTGTTTTCTGTTAAGTGAGATAAAGTTTGATTCACTGATTTGCAAACACCACCTACATTTAGTTAACAAATTTAAATCGTCACGGAGCTGGCTTATGTTAGCACTCTAAGAGCCTATTCCTTTTCAGGCCACTACATAACTCTTGAAAGAGTCACATGTGCTAGGAAAAGATTCTAGAAATATAATAAATAAAATGTTATATTTAAAGAAACAAAACCAAGTAAGACAGAAATGAGATTGCTCACTTGTCTTTTTTATTTTATACTAGTCATTCTCTTTCACAAAATGGAAAAATATGAGGCCAGTCACAAAATAAAAACCCTATGGAGTTTAAATGAAATGACAGGTTATCAATTTATTTGGTGCCACTTCATATCAAAATGAGAAAAATATAAATAACGTACGTAGTGAGCTCTTCATAAAAACCATTTACTGAAAGGACTAGCCTTTACTTTGAGATCACGTTCTTCCTATTGATGGTGCTAAACATCCTTTTACGGAACGGTAGTATGTTCACTGCATATGTGTGTGCATGTGTATACACATACTATTTGTATAATCTTCCAACTTAGTTATATAGGCTGACAACTTTATACCTCTTTAACAAATTTTGAAATTTGGCTAGTCTGTAACAGATCCCTAGGTGGTGCAAAAGGTTTGTGCTAGACCACTAACTTAATGGTTGGCGGTTTGAACCCACCCAGTGGTGCCAAGAAAGAAAGGTCTGGTGAACTGCTTCTGTAAAGATTACAGCCTAAATACATAAATAAAGCTCTGTGGAGCAGTACTACTCTGTAACAGAAGGGTTGTGCCATGACTCAGAGTCGACCCAATGGCAGTTTTTTTTTCTTTGTAAAATCTTCATATTTAACAAAACCTTTTTATTAAACCAGTCACTAAACCCAATTGATTCTTTAAGTAATGTCTGTCAAACACAAATTTTCCTTTCTTAGTCTGTAGAATAATACCCTTTTCTAAGCCCTGGATGACTGACTTCTTCTAATTGTACAGTATTCAGAATCTCCTTACCTTTCAAATCACTGAAAAAACACATTTCACATAACATTACCCTTCAATACTTAAACAAAATGAAGTTCAAACTTCTTCGGCCTATACTTATGACATTCTGTAATCTGAAATGACCTTCTCTATCTTTAGCTTATTCTTGTCCCCTAAGTTACTTATAGGATCTCTCTGAGTTGGAATCGACTCGATGGCAAGGAGTTAATGGGTTAAGTTACATGTATGCTCTAACAGAAATATACAAATGATTGTTTTATTTTTAATCCTTAATATTTGCTCAATTTTGCTTAGTTTTTCTTAAGGCAGGACTGACTGCAATTCCTACCTTGGATTCTTGAATGTTGCCTTTTCTTTGCTGACTTCTGTGACATCTTTCATGTCAACCTATGTTTAAAAGATACAAATAGAAATTGGTGATAATTTAAACTGCAATATAAAGTTTTATTATTTTAACATCAGACATCTGCAATTGTTCGTTGTGTCATCACCCAAAATGCACTAACATTAAACTCATTAATGCTCTCCTCCCCCTGCAACTAGTGACTCTGCTGGGCTGCCCAAATTTCATTTATGTCTGGGGCAACTTTTTTTTTTTTGAGGAAAATTTGCAACATTCTTATCCTCGTATTTTAAAATCAACTTTGAAGCCCATTTATGACTGCTCTCTCTTTAATGCCCTTTTTAGCAAACCAGTGATTAAGCCCTATCAATTCTTTAAGTGATACCTGTCAAATACCAATTTTCCTTTCTTATTCTATAAAACAGCAAGCACCCTTTTCTAAGTCCTGGACTAAATGACTTCTAACCGTTCTCAGAATCTCTGTCTCATTTAAACTGAAAAAAAACTCATTTCACATGGCATTATCCATTAATACAGAAAGCCAACAGAATCAAGTTCAAACTCCTATACCTAAGACATTGTATAATCTCAAATAACACTATTTTCCATCTTTAGCTTACTTTTGTCCCCTAAGTTAAATTTTTGTTTCAGACTTAACCTCATCTCTCAAACGTCAATAAGCGTTCTCGATGTCTGTCATCACATTATTTTCTATAACTGAAATGTCTTCTTCATTTTTCCCATCATCTAGTACTTTTTTTTTTCCTTTAAGGGAAAGCTTTGTGTTGCATGCAATAAATCTTCCCTAATAATCTAAGCTGCTGTTTTTTGCTTTTCTTCTCAATAGCTACAAACCTTTTTAGTACTACCCTCACTTTACTCTTCATGTGGCGTACACAGCTTGTGTTATGGTTTGTAAATGTTTGTAAGTGGTTGTTTACTTGTACAGAGGCTGATTAACCAGTAAGCATGGTATGCACTGGCTTGCAGTGAGCAAGGTACACATGGCCTTAACTGCATTTACTAGCCAATCTGTGGTGAGCAATTTCATATGGATTTCAACGTATCGTTTTGACATGGTGGGGGACAGGTGAAATTGTGCACTACAGATTGGTGGGAAGGCACAATTGGGCCCGTGTGTACCTTGCTTATTGGGTAATCAGTCCCTGGTTAAGTGTTTTTCTATGAAACACAATTCAATAAATGGTAACTAAATTCCTGGTCTCTAGAACTAACTTAACCAATACAATTAGACTTAGAAAAAGAGCAGGTGGGCAAAGAAAGAATCTTGCTTTTCATTTTGCGTATAGGTTTCTGTTTCTTCTGAACTGAGAAATTCTCAAAAAGCTGTAGGGAGTAGGGCAGGGGCAACTGCTAGGATAGGCTTTGGAGCTAGACTGCCTGGTTTTAGATCCTGGCTCTCCCATTCACTGTGTGACTTTGAAAAATTTATTTAACCTTTCTGTGCTCCCATTTCCTTACCTTTAGAGAATAATACTGCATACATCATACAAGTTTTGTAAAGAATGAATAAATATTTGTACAATCCTTAGCACAGTGCTAAGTACATAATAAACTGTATATAAACTTTGTTAACTAAAACGTATTTAGATAGGACTGCCTCTAATTCCCTGAAAATCATCAATTTTAAAATATGTGTCGTATTTGTCCCACTGGATGATAACAGTGAAGAATATGGGCTACATTAGACAGTCTTTCATAGTCTCTACATGGGCACAGACTTGTGTAGAAGCTACTCAAGAATACTTGGTCACTCACTTAACTCACATTCATGATAGCAGACTTTCCCTTAAGAAGCTATTAAAATTCATATTCTTCCATGAAATGTTTTCTAAATTAGTTTATTTAAAGTTTAAAAGAAGACATTTGCAAGATCTCTCCCTTACATGGAATCATTGATTGAAAGTCAACATTTACATCCTTTTAAAGATAATATAAATTGTCTAATCCAATATTTTAGTTAGTAAACTAATTTTGCAAGGCAAACTTTAAAGCATTATCAATTTTCACAATTTTGCAATCTACTTGTTTGCTTAAAGAGGGGACTTGTTCTCAAAAAGAATATTTTACACAGGTTTTGTTTTAAAACATTCATACCTTCTGCTTTTTAGAACTGGACATAGTAGTATTTTTCTCTTCTTCCTGAGAGTCTTCATGTCTGTCTATAACAATACGCCGTTTTTTAGAGGAACTTGAAATGTTTTTGATTATGCCCTCTGGAATTGAGGGTACCTTCATACAAGCACTGGAATTATTAATGCTCTTCCCATGTTTTATAACATGAATATTCATCTTTCCTTCTGTCTTCAATTGGAAGGTTTTCTTTCTGTTATGTAGCATTTGGCACAGGATAAAGGACATGGTTAATTTAGCATTTTTAGCACATATAATCTTCATATGTTCAATAGTTCTCATGACTTTCATAATATGGGCCATTTTTCCTATATCTTTCTGAGGAGCGGCCATTACATTTTTGAGCAGTGTAGAAAACTGACTGTAGCTGTGTTCTAGCTCTGTCACAGTGCTTCCATAATTTATGGATGCTACACACGGCACAAAGTCAATATATGTGGAAATGGAACACCTGGACTTCTTTAGAAGTTTTTTTATTTCTGAAAGTTCTTCAAGTTCTCTTGAGAGCAAATGACGAGCATATGAGCAATTAAGAGCTTCATCATATTTGTGGATAATATCCAGATCTTTCTTAAGTTCAGAAATAGCGGTCTCTATCACTTTCCAAAGGCAATCTGCTGAATTATCTTTAAGAAATGAAAAACAAGCCATTTTTTCTTGGCAATGAACCAGCTCAGGAAGAAGCGACATATCAAACCAAAGCATACCTCGAAACCTCTGCTTGTCTAGTTTCTTTGCCATTGAGTTTTTAAGAAAATGTATAGTTTCTAATATCATAACTATCTCAATATATGTTTCAGTAGCTTCGGGCTTTAAAATTACAGTCCCGTGGTTGTGGCTGTTCATCACGTCCAAAACGTTTTCTTCTGTGATAAACATATTATCTATGCTATCTTCTTGCAACATCCGGAAGTATTTTTTTAAAATTTCTAAGTGATTAGTACATCTCAAAGTGAGTTCCTGTAATTTTTTAACGTCTGCAAATTCAGCTTCATCCAGTATTTCACTAATACAAGAAATATCTGGGTGTGAAAGCAGAGTATTGTTAAACCTACAGTTTTCTATGCTAACTGTTGTTTTATTTATTAGATTGTCTGACTTTTTGCAAGCAATCATGGCATCCTCCTCAAGTCCAATACTGGAAATCTGTTCATTGCTTAAATCTTTAGACAAAGCACCATATATCTTCTGCAACTTAGAGAAAGCCTCTTGATTAATTTTGAGTAGCATTTCTTTATACTTCTTTCGTGAGTATTTTTTGTTTAAGGATTGTCTTCTCTTTTCCCAGACAAGACTTTTTGCAGCATCAAAAAAAATGTGTTCCAGACCATAGAGAGATATTTTAATACTTATTGCCTCGCTGCTCTTGATAAAATTAACTTTTGTGGAGATTATTTCTATGATAATCCACAAGTGGTCTTGTTTTCCTGGATATGAGTGAATTTTAGGAAAGTCCCCACATACACTGATCAGCTCTAAAGTACTTTTCCTTAAGGTTTCTAGGTCTCCCAAACTATCGCCAAAGTTAACACCACAGGTAAATGGATCAGAAAGAGAAAAGTCAAAGCAATCAGAACAATGTTGCATTATCGCTTCGCACTCCTTAATCTGCCGTTTGTATTTTAAGAATGCATAGTATGAATTTTTCCCCCTTTTTGTTTCTTCAAGTAATTCAATTAACTGATCATGGTACTTCTGCAACTCACAGAATGCATTATATTTTAACCTTCCTTGGAAAGCAGGATAAAAATTGGATTGCTGTTGATAGCCACGTGGTCCACCAAGCAGCTCACTGTACAGTGTCTCATCATACCAAAGCAAGCTTCGGAATGTCGGTTCATCTCCCAAGAGCCTTTTTTTGTTTTCAATAAATTGAACAGTTTCCATCATCATTTGGAGTTCTACCAAAGAGTCAATAGCACAAGGTTTTAATTTGTTTTTACAATTATTCCACAGGTTCTGTTGTACCAACAGGTCTCGTGAAATCAAGATTTGTTCAAGTGAGCATTCCTGGGTTCTTTCAAAAGCTTCAACAAATGAAGGGAGAATATTTTGACAAACCTTAGTTTCTTCCTGTAGAATCTGCAATGATGATGCTTCATCTGCCCTCTGCAAAATTTGAGACAGCTTAGCTATAAGAGCAGTATGATTAGCTGAGCAATGTTTTTCTGTTAATTCATTCATGTATGATGTAGGCTTCTTCTGAAGAGTAGTGACTTTAGAGATCTCTGGGTGGACATGTAAAATAGGTTTATGGTTAATTCCTACAATGTCCGGTTTGAAATTACAGGTTATTTCTGAATGCACTATCGAATCAGGCTGTGAGTCATTGTTAACTTTCCCATCTTTCTCTCTTTTGATAAGTGGATTAGGAACTGTGTTATTCACGGAAAGTGCCTTAGAAGATGTGGCATTTTCAATTCTTAGATGAGACTCAATCAAGTTATTTTTAACTGTTTTCTCACTTAAGTAGGAGGATACTTCTTCTAAGGTCTTCTGATTTTTGTACTCAGTTTTAAAAGATGATTCTTCAGTCATGCGTTTTTTGTGGTATACGTCTTCAATCGTATCTTTTGCTTTTTCTGCTTGTTTAACTTTCCACATTTTTCTGTCCTGAATGTTTTTCATTGCATTACCTTTTTTTGAAGAAGAACCCTTTACATTATCTGTTAACATTATCTGAAACCTGTCATTGGAAAATAGTTTCTTCATTGTATTTTCCCCACAACATTTTTTTTCTTCAGTTACTGATGTTAGGGCCAAGCTGGAATTCTCAGTAACACCTGTGTCATTCCCATCGATTTGGGAGCAATTACTTGAAGAGGACTGCTCTGTCTTTAGAAGCTCATTTTCACCACATTTCTGTTGAGAATGGGATACAGCAGTGGATGCTGCCAAAGAATCTACATCAAAAATTCTCTGTTTATCCAAATAAGATTCTGAAGATTCTCCCTCAGTCACTATCACTGGAGCGGCTGAAAACAACTGAGGAACACTGTTACATTTTTTGCTTGCTATCAGAGTTGGCTTTAATGGGTCCACAGGGAAGTTTCTTGTGAAGATGTTTGGTTTAGAGTTCTCAACAGGAGCTGGGCATTTTTCTATAGGAAAATTCACTTCCAGGTTTCTTTTACAATCAGATAAAATGTTATTTGGTTTGTAGATACCAACATTTAAAAAGTGCTGTGTACTTGATTCTAAGACTGAAATAAGTATGTCAGTTTTCACGTCTGTGTGGGCTATATGACTTGTACCGTAATTTTTGTCCGTGTTAACACTTACACTTTCTTTTATGCAATTTAAAGATACTGAGTTACTTTTACTTATTACTTCATTAGCCACGGAATTAATTTCTTCTGTTACATCCTTAACATTACTATGTATTGAATGGCTCTCAAGCTTTTCATATTTACCGAAGTTAGATAAAAAGTTTGTATCAACTTGGTTTTCTTTTTCAGGTAGCTTCTCATCTGGGTGGTCTGGTGAACATACATTATCAGTTTTTCCAAAAAAAGGCTGAAGGTCTGATGACCCTGAGAATTTCATACCGCTAGTATTAAAAGCTGATTGACTTGTACTTTTGGACACAGAGGACAGGCGTAACTGTGACTCAGGATGTTGTTCTTGCTCACAAAACTCTTCCACGTGAATAGTGGTGTGACTTCTGGAAATACCACTGGCTACATTTTTCTTAGAAAGCTGTTTTGTGACTCCCTCTTCATTACAAGACTTGTGCTTTGACACACGAGTTAATGATTTCCCAACATCAAATTCTAAAACTCTTCTCTCACCCTCTTTGTCATCTCTTCTTCTTGAAAAAAAATGCTTAGTGGAATAATATTTTCTTTCACACACAGAACTATAACCTTCAAGGTCACAGCTTTCCCAGAAACTATTGCATATGATTGCATATGATTTTGGTAATGGACCTTTTCTTGTTTCTCCCACTTTAGCTATTAGTTGCAAGGATGTGTGAACTCTTCTCTGAGCTTTTTTTAAGTGCAGAACAGCTCTGTCAAGTTTTCTGGAAAGACGTTTGCTTTTACATAAAGATGCTTCACTGTTTAGAATATCCAAGACACTCCTAATGTGTTTTTCTGACTGTGAAAATGTTTTAATTCGTCCCTGGGATAATGAACAAAAACATTCAAACGAGTTTTGACTAGTTAGCCTCCTCTTCTTCTCATACATTTCATGTCTTACATCTTTATGGGATGTGTTCTGGTCTCTAACAGATGTATGTAACTTTCTTTTGCTCATTCTTGACTCTGTGTGCTTTCTACTTCTAGCATCATTAGCGTCAGTTTTTGATTTTGCAAAGGAACAGCTGCTTCTGTTATTTACTGTTGTGACATTTGAAGATTCAGTAAACAAAGATTCACTGTTTTGTTTTTCAGACATGTGATTCATGTGTGTATTCCGACTTAAGTCCAAAGAAAGAGAAGTTTCAGATTTACTCACTAATTCTGATTTTTGTGTCATGTTATCAAGTTTATCCTCACATGAGTTATCAGAATTTTCACTGGAAGACTGGGAATAAATTCCTAATTCTGGCAACTTTTCTCCCTCTGGGGCTTCAGAATAATTATCTTTCAATGCATGGGAGTCAGCAGTTTGGCTGAATTCTGGCCTACATGTATTAGTAATTCTAACTTGTAGATCTGGAAGTAAAATTGGATTCAGAAGTTCTGCTTTGGTTTTTTGTGTAGAAGAATAAAAACAACTACTTTCCTCAGAGTAATGCTGATCTGTATTCTCCCTTCTTGCAGTGCTTTTCAATGCTTCTGTTCCCCAGTTACTGCTTCCTAACAGAGCATCCCAATCAATACGAGACCTCAGAGCCTCATACGAGATCCCCAATTCTTCATTAAGCACACTTCCATGGCTATGTGCATCTTGTTGAAATAGAAAAGCATCATCATCCTGTTCTGTTTCTACTTCAATTTCACTTTCCAATTCCAAACTCTGAATAACCAAGTTCTCACCGACTAAGGACTGATGAAATGAGTCTTGTGATTTATTTTCACCCGTATCAATTTCACAATCAGAAATCCTAGGTTTTACTAACAAACCAAAATCTGGACTCTCGGAAGAACGAGTTTCTTTAAACTGGTATCTCTGGTGATCTTCGTGATTTGTGCTCAATGCAGGCAAAGTACAACTAGCTATCTGTACTTTAGCATTTGGGTCTGTACACACTGAAGAAACTGGAACTTCTGGGAACACTGTGGAAGCCAAACGCTCTAGACTCTTTCCATTATTTTGAGTATATTTTTGTTTTAAGGCAGTGACAGCGTCTTCACTTTCTATTAATGTAGTTTCTGTTGATACGCATTTTTGGCCCCAAGTTAAGTTAAATGCAGTAGAAAATTCTTCAGAAATCAGAATTTCTACACTGCTGCAATTTTTATTCTCCCTCCTTTCATCCATATTGGTAAAACTGTTGCTTGTATGAAAAACCTGTTGCTCATCTCCATGTATGTTCTCTATGCTGTCCTCTGTAGATAAAGCAACATCTTCCTCTTTAGCCTCATTTTGATTATCGTTATCTTTTTCTTCTTTGAAATCAACATTCAGGGTTGTATCATTGTTCAGTTGTCTCTCACCGAAGACAGGGTGATCTTGACATTTATCTTCAATATGAGGAGAATCTCTGCAGTCTTTCTGATCATGTGCTAATGACACCAGCTCATTTTCATTTTCCTTATGAACCCATATATGTTCTTTAGTTATACTGCAATTGAAAGTATGAGCTGTTTCAATGCCATGAGATGCAATAACTGTATCAATTAATAGTTCTTTGGCCTGGGAAATGTCTTTTGCTTCCTGGAAAGCATCAGTCATAATGCTAACACAATTTTGATTTGTTTCTTCCCTTTTAAGATCCATTTGTTTTTGAGAAACAACAAAATTTCTATGAATGTCATTATTTTCATACTCCAAAAAGTGCTGAGGATTATTCTGCGAAAGGCTCTTTATGCTTGGAGTAAGGTTATTTTGTAATTCCATGGTTAGGTCATCTAGTTCATACTTATCCTTTGTGGTAGATATTGCTATTTCCAACTCTTCAGTAATTAGTATTTGTTCACAGTTTTTTCCTGAAGAATCAAAACTCTCATCCTCTTTATGTTCTTGGTGCAACGAAATGTAATTATCTATAGGACTGGCTTTTGTTTCATTACTAAAATAATGACCAATTTCTTTCCACAACTTTTGCTTTTCTCCATGTTTGGAACTGTCTTCTGGATCAACTTTAAGGTTCCTCATATTTCCAGTATTTTGAATGAACATATCTATGCTTTCTTTCTTTTGGAATGTAAAAACTGGAGACATTTGATGATCAGTCTGATATATCGTTTTTAAACCAGAACACTGTGATTCCTGAGAGATGTGACAATTATAGTCTTTTGTACAAGTATTCACTGGTTCGTAAGAGTTATGTGGCTCACTATTTTGTTTAATTAAAAGTGGGGTGTTGCTTCTCTGTTGGGATGTCTCGACTTTTTCCTCACTGTGTTTTTGGTCTTCAGCTTCTGAAACTACATTTGACAAAGGAATCGGGAAGGGAACATTGCCTTGGTTCTGACAGTGTCCTGCCATGGTGATTTTACTGGGAGTTGCATAATCATAGTCCTTAGACCACATGTTATGAAATTGAGACTGTGTATCATCAAAAGAAATTTTGAAGCAAGGGGTATCCAAGTAATTAGTAAGAACAGTATGATCATCAGGGATGACTTCGGGTGAGGAGACAGAATTAGCTGACACAGATGACAAGTGTGTTTCTGAATTACCAGAATCTAAACTCTTTTCAAATGCCAAAATCTCCTTTAAATCCATTACATTATTCTGTTTTCCCATGCTTTCTTCTCTCCTCATGAGTCTTGGGTCTTTGATGAGTTTTGAAGTAGTAACTGTGCTTGCGCCAACACTGTTGTGAAGGGGAACAGCACTAGAAATACCACTTAAAATATTTTTAAGATGTGTCCAGTTTAACACGAGGTCACCATTTACGCTTTCCCTGGTATCACTGGGCATAAATAAAAGACCCGTATCATGTGCATACGCTTGAGAAGTGCCACTACTTTGTGCTAAATTGTGCTCTGACTGTCCAGTGTGTGTTTCAAGTATAGAAATGTTTCCATTTTGCACATTTCCACAGGAATTAGAACTATCTGAGTTGGAAGGATTTATCTCTGAATTCAGTGCATTGCATGAACAGTTTTCCTGAACAAATGGATCTACAGGTTTCCTAAAATGCTCAAAGATGACAGTAGCATCTTTTCCTTTTCCAATTCTTTTGGCCACTGTACAGTTATTCAGAGAACACGTTCTTTCTGTGGAAGTAAGAAGAAAGTAAGAAAATAGGAAGAGAAAATTATTTCTCAGAATATCTACCAATACACTGTCATGATTGATTTTAATTGAAAGTTCATCAAATAACTTAATCATAATTAAAAGGTGTTCTCAGCAGAAAAACAGGAGAGGATGAGTAACAAACCAATAAAGTATAAATGAAACAGCATGAAGTGCTGTCACAGACTAGGGACCTTACTAAAAACAGTATTTGCCATTAAAGAATCTGAGTTCTGATAAATAATAAGGAATAAACATAGGTAAATAAGAAATAAAAAATTAAATAGGAATAAAAACATGTTGCTCACAGACTAAGTATTTCTTACATTACCTTCATATATTCAGATATTTAATAACAGTGTCTACATATCAAGCAAAATTGCCTCACTTCTTTCCCTAGACCATGCTCCCGAAAATTGTTACTTTGCTTCCTTTTCCTCTACCATGGGAGAACAAAAAAAAGAAAAGAAAGGGGAATTGGATAGAGAAGGAGGGAAAAAGACAAAGATTCCACAAAATCCTTCCCAGGGGCCAAAGCAACCCCCTTCCCAATACTTGCTGTGGTTAAAAGTAAGTATTTATACAAATAATATATGTAAATAAAACCCTGGAAAATGAGAGGAAATTTTCTTTTAATTTACCAAAATGTATTCTGAAAATTTCATATAGAATCTCAAATAATAAAGAAGAAACTTAAAAATACGTATTTAACAAATATATAGTAATTTCTCATAAAATGGTCAGAAAGCATTCACAGCTGAGTACAATCACGGGTATGTATTTACTAAACAGAAATTAATAATTATAAACTGCTTGTGAGATTTATGAGGTACATGAAGTTTTAAAATCATATCACTGGGAGGTACTGTGAGGTTTTCACAATATATTAAAAGGTAGCTATGCTACTTCCTCCAAATTCTACAACCACCTGTGATGATATCTTTCTTATTAATCACAGTAAGCTATAGTGGAAATCTAATCACAAATAAAGACACGTAGTTCTTAAGAGTGGGAATTATAGTAGAGGGAAAAAGCAAAGGTAGATCTCTACAACTCATTATACTAATAAACTCATTGTAAAAAATAAAACCATGAAAGTATTAAAAGAAAACATGAGTATTTTTATCATCATGAGGCTGGGAAGTCCTTTTTAAGCAAGACTGAAAATACAAGAAAAAACTGACATCAATTACAGACAAATTATATACTTTAAGTCAAAACACACAATAAACAAAACTCAAAGAATAAACTGGTCAAAAAGCATATTCTGAATGAAAACAGGTTACTACATAATACATATTACATGTATATTAGAATAAATAAACAACAGGTAGAGATCTTCAAAAGACCAGTAAGAAGAACTTTCACAACAGAATAATGGGCAAAGTATATGAAAAAGCAAATTACAGATTAAAAACTGCCAACAAATATTAAAACATGCTCAATCCCACTAAATAAATCATAAAATCTCATCAAAAAAAAATCTTTTATATTGGCAAAGATTTTAAAGGATGATTACCATCCAGTGGATATAAAGCACCCTTTTATACTGTTCCTGTGAGTATAAAGTGGTACAATTTCCTAGAAAGCAACTCAACAGTATTTATCAAAATATAATGTATAATCATCTATACTCAGCCAATCACTTTTACAAATTTATCATTTTGACATACTTACAGAAATACCCAAAGTTACATGTACAAGGATTTTTAGTACAATAACTCACAGCAGCTGAAAATTAGAAACTTAATTATCCTTCAATATGAGATTGATTAAATAATAGCATATCAGTAACTATAAATCATAAAATTATATGCATATGCTATAATAAATGCTCTAAAAATGTTATACATCCAATAAAAATATTAATATATTAATATGTACCAACATAGGAAAATAAACCTAATTAGTTAAGTTTGTATAATCATCCCACTTTCGCAAATGTATGGGCAAATGAATATTAATTTACACATTTTGATGATAACTTACATTTATGGAGTATAGCTGTATACTAACACACATGGGATTGTCATGAGCTGGAATCAACTAGCTGGCAACTGGTTACTTTTATAGAGTGCTTACTGTGAATGCCAGGTACTGTTTAAAGTGCTTTGTATACTTTGATTCGTTTAATCTCCCCAACATCTCCATTTTATTCGTAAGGAAGTGAAGTTAGGAATAATTTGCCTAGGATCACACATTTTATAAGCAGTAGAACCTTAATCACTATGCTACAATGCCTCTTTAAACTTAATAAAGACATTTACTTCCCATTTTTGGTACTCCCACCAAATAACAAATGAAATATAGAGGAAAAAACGCAACATCTTGAATAAAATAAGCAATCTGTAACAAAATCAAATTATCTATGAAGCCAACTCCCAAACAGTTACCAGCACCATAATCTCAGGTGATAAAAATGTAGTACAACTGTGCTGTCCAATATGGTAGCCACTAGCCACATATGGCTAGTAAGCACTTGACATGTGTCTTGTGTGACTCGGGAATTAAATTTTAAATTGTATTTAATTTTACCAAATTTAAACAGCCACATACAACTAGTGATTACCGTATCGGTTAGCGTAATTCTAGAGTACTCTAGAGGGAGATGAGTATGCTGATGGCCAACATACATGACCTCGACTGTGGGCATAATACAGCTATTCCCCAAAGTTCATCATCCTGAAAGGCGTCATCCTTTGATAAAGGCAGTAAGCTATAAGACTGGGAATGCGCCACAGTTGAAGTGGCGGAAAGGTCTGTATCTATTTTCTCCAATGTAAACCTTCTAGCTGAGAGAGGATATGGAAAGTAGAATGAGGTGGTTGTGAAGGATTAAGGGGATTAGAGCCCAGGAAGCCTGTGAAGCTTGGAGGGCTATGGTAACCTCTTGAATACATCAAGCTAATTGGGGACATGCCTCACCAATTAAGTAACATTTAGTAAGGCTGTAAAATAGACAAGTCCCCAATCCTACTATTATCAAGTGGTTGTTACGGACTAAATTGTGTTTCCCAAAAAGATATGTTGAAGTCCTAATCCCTGTGCTTGTGAATGTGACCTTGTTTAGGGAAATAGGGTTTTTCTTTGCAGATGTTACCAGTTAAATTAACTATGTCATACAGGAGGGCAGGATGGCCCCTAATCCTATAAGACTGGCATCTTATAAAAGAGGAAGGCGGACACAGAAACAGGAGTCACAGACAGGAGAAAGACAGACACCCTGTGAAGACAGAAGCAGATGTACCTATTAGAAGCATGGGAATGCCAAGGATTGCTGGGAGAACCCAAAACTAGGGCATGGAACACCTCCTCTCTCAGATCCCTCAGAAGGAATCGATAAGGCTAATACCCTGATTTTGACTTTAGCCTTCAGAGCTGTGAGAAAATAAATTTCTGTTCTTTAAAATTTCTGTTCAAAATACCCACTTTGTGGTATTTTGTTATGGTAACCTTAGGAAATCAAGACAGCAGGTATCAAAGACCCCAACATAAATAATTAGAAAGGTACAAACGGAAAAAAAAAACAAACCAAAACAGAAAAACTTAAACATTCAAGGAAATTATAAATAGCATACTGTCTTTAAATAGGAGATTCAGTGTTTCAAAAGATATAACAAAACACAAAAAAGTGTCTTCCTGAACTCAGAATAGAAATTAAAGAGAAAGATAAAAGCACTGAAATAAAAGCCACATTAGAACAACAAAACACCCAAGAAACATAACTGAGAAAAAAACAAAAACCTGTAGTTGGGACTTGAGGAAACAACACTAATAAGAACACAATAATAACATAAGAAGGATTAACAAGGTCACAGATACAGAAGACAAGGACATTCAAAGTATGCATAATCAGTACATGAAGCAAAAACTGACAGAAATGAAAACATAAACAGACGATTCAACAATAATGGTTGGAGACTTCAATATCTCACTTCCAATTACGGATAAACCAACCAGGCAGGAAATCACCAAGGAAACAGAAGATTTGAACAACTAGACTCCTAACAGATAACTACAGAATACTCCACCCGACAGAAGAATACACACTCTTCTCAAATGCACATGGAATATTCTCCAGGACAGATCATATACTAGGCCTTAAAACAAACCTCAATACACCCACTCCTCACTTATCAACACGGTTAGGTTCCAAAGACCAGGTCGTTGTGCAAAAATCAGCGTTATGTGAAAATGGAGGACATTTTTTTGTCTTCAGAGCATCCATTTGTCCCATTTTTTTTTATTTAGAAAATATGAACACAGAAATAATAACAGCTAAGATTTAATGAGCCCTGGTGGCACACTGGTTGAGAGCTCAGCTGCTAACCAAAAGGTCAGCAGTTTGAATCCACCAGCCGCTCCCTGGAAGTCACTATTAGCCAGAATCAGCTCAAGGGCAACAAGTTTTGTTTTTTGTTTTTTTAAAGTTCTACTGATGCGCTCCTCACTGTGACAAGTTCAGTTATGGATTATTCCTCTGCGCAAAAGGAGACTTGGAGGAGTAGACGCTGGATAAAGCCGGGCTGTGTGACTGGGGGGCTTAACCACTTTACCTTCCTCCTGTGCGGGGTCAGAGCTTCCTTCACAGAGCCACCTCCAGGGCTCCACTCCCACCCCTGTAAGCTCTGTGCTCACAATCCTGGAGCCTGCTCTACCCTCTGGGCCTGGAGAGTCACCAGGCTTGGGGCTTCCTGCAAGGGCGATGGGAGCCTGGCCGTGCACCCAGCCTCACCAAGGAGGAGGCTTCAGGTTCAGTTCAGCTAACTTTTGGATGTCATTAAACTTGCATGCATTTCTTCCAAATACCCTCTCAAATGCCTCTCTCTCCTTCCTTCCCACACCCGGGCAATTTCGAACGGCACAGCCTCAGGCCGCATAGAAGCTGGGAACCCAGAATGGTTGTCTGCTGGCTTGGTGCTGCCTTTGTGCCTAAGCCTGGAGGCCGTGGCCACAAAGGAGGCCAGCCCCATGCGGCAGATGGACACAGTGGTGGGTGCCCACAGAAGGGAGCAGAGGGTGCCTGACCCAGCTTCTGGGAGGCCACCTGGAGATCCTCCTTGAGGGAGGGTAATGCTCTGCAGTCACTGTTGCCAAGCCCACCACCTCATTAATGCGCAAAATAGTCAGTAGATTTTTTACTACTGTCATAAAGGTGAAATGTTGGATAATGAGATAGTCGGTAAGTTGAGGAGTATGGCTATTTCTGGAGCACTGGTAGCACAGTGGTTTAGAGCTACAGCTGCTAACCAAAAGGTCAGCAGTTTGAATCTAACAGCCACTCCCTGGAAATCGTATGGGACAGTTTAACTCTGTCCTATAGGGTCGCTCTGAGTCGGAATCAACTCGACAGCACCTAATAACAACAGGTTTATTTTTAAAAGGACAGGAATAACAGAAAGTATGTTCTCCAACCACAGCAGAATAAAATTAGAAGTCAGTAGCAGAAAGAAATTCGCGATTCTGAAGGAATTAAACAACACACTCTTAAATAACCAATGGATTAAAGTTAAGTACCAAAAAGGGACTTAGAAAATACTTTGAGATAAATGCAAATGAAGACACAACATATCAAAACTTCTAAGAACGACAGTAGTGTTTAGAGGAAAATTTATAGCTGTAAATGCAGTGTTAACAAAGAAGAAAGGTCTCAAAACAGTAACCTAACATTAAGACACTGGAAAAAGAAGAGCAAACTAACCCCAAAGAAAGCAATAAGAAGGAAATAATAAATAGTAACAGAATAACAAATAGCAAAAATCACTGAAACCAAAAGGTGGTTCTTTGAAAAATGCAACAAAATGAACAAACCTTTACTCAGACTGACCAAGAAAAATAGAAGACAAAATCCTAAGTGAGAAAGGAAAAGGGGATATTACTACTGACCTAACGGAAATAGAGAGTATTATAAAGGAATACCATGAACCATAAAGCTAAATAAAACCTTAATGATACTATCTCATACCTACCAGAGTTGTAAGAAAATGAAAAAAATCTGACAGTACCAAGTTGTGGCTAGGATGCAGACAGACATTCTCAACCCCATTAATAATCAGAGAAATGTAAACTAAAATCATAATGAGATACCATCTCACATGCATTAGACTGGGCAGAAAAAAATGCTTTACAATATGTGCTGGGAAGGATGTAGAGCAGGAGAAATGCTCGTAGACCGCTGGTAGATATGTAAGCCGATGCAACCAGTTTGGAAAACCATTTGACATTATCTTTGGTTTAACTTGCACATTCTGGATGTATATACTCTGTAGAAAACCTTTTGCACATATGCAACAAGATTCACATATATAAACGTTTAAAACAGAATTTCTATAATATGAATAAAACCGCGAAGTGCCATATATCCCTAGTAGAACAGTGTATAGTCATACAGTGAAATGCTGTGTATACATAAATCAAAACAAACATTTATACATATCATCATGAAAGAATCATACAAGCATAATACTGAGCAAAAGAAGTCACAAATATTCATGCAATGTGATTCTGTATATATATATATGCACAAAATGGAAAATAGGTAAACAAGACTATTTGGTTTAGAGAGTCATACTCCATTAGAAAATAACATTCAGAAAATTTAGGATCAGTGTACATGCTATGAAGCAGAATATGTCTCTTACCAGCCCTCTTAGAAAATCCTGTTGAGAGGAATCTCAAAGATGTCATAAAATATCCATTATCTATTCTTTGACCAATAAATTTTACTGTTACTACTGCAAATGGAAGGCACTGTCTAGGTTTATCTACTGGCTTTGAAAAATCATTGTATTCATAGAAGTATACCTGAAAGATAAAGCAGAAGGAAAAAAAGGATAACATTTTAATGCTGATTAAGTTTAGAAATCAGACTTAAATAGGCTCCTATTCTTGAAAAAAAAAAAAAAAACCTCATATAATTGTATGATGTTATTTACTCATCTGCTGCCATATACTCCCTCCTCTCCCTGTTTTCTTCAACCCTGGTTTGTCTTGGAAGAAGTACAACCAGAACGCTCCTTAGAAGCAAGGATGGTGAGACTATGTCTCACGTACTTTGGACATGTTATCAGGAGGGATCAGTCCCTGGAGAAGGACATCATGCCTGGTAAAGCAGAGGGTCAGTGAAAAAGAGGAAGACCCTCAACAAGATGGAATGACACAATGGCTGCAACAATGGGCTCAAGCATAACAACAATTTTCAGGATGGTGCAGCTACTATGAGTCAGAACTGACTCGATGGCACCTAACAACAACGGTTTTTTTATAGATATCTAAAATTTCCTTCTTTTCTTTTTATTTATTTATTTTTACTGTGATTTAGGTTAAAGTTTACAGAACAAGTTAGTTTCTCATTAAACAGTTAATACACAAATTGTCTTGTGACATTGGTTGCCAACCCCGTGATGTGTCAACACTCCTTCTCCTCCACCCCAGGTAAAAACCTCTTTCTTTTCCACCATATATCTTTTTCTTGGTAGGCTACTAATGTCTGCAGAAGCAGATACGATCGATATTTTTTTCTGCATTTTTTTATTTTTTATTGTACTTCAGGTGAAGGCTTACAGAAGAAATGGTTTCTTAGTACACATATTGTTTTATGACATTGGTTAACAACCCCACAACATATCAACCCTCTCCTTTCTTGACCTTTTTTTTTTGGTGAAAATATACATAGCCAAATATACACCATTTCAAAAATTTCTACATGCACAGTTCAGTGACATCGACTACACTCTTCCAATTGTGCTGCTATTCTCACTTTAGATGAAGGCTTACAGAACAAAATAGTTTCTCATTTAACAGTTAGTACACGTTGCCCTATGACAATGGTTAACAACCTCACAACACAGCAACACTATCCTTACTCAACCTTGGGTTCCCTATCACCAGCTTCCCTGTCCCCTTCTGCCTCTTGTCCCTGGACTGCTGTACCTCATTAGTCCCATCTGGTTTTATGGGGCTGTCCACTCCCAGGCTGAACGGTGAACCTTGGAGACGACTTCACCACTGAGCTAAAAGGGTGTCTGGGGCCATACTCTCGGGATTTCTCCAGCCTCCTTTAGGCCAGTAAATCTGGTCTTGTTTTGTGTGTGAGTTAGAATTTTGTTCTACATCCTTCTCCAGCTCTGTCTAGAACCCTCTGTTGTGATCCTGGTCAGAGCAGTCGGTGGTAGCTGGGCAGACACAATCGATTTTTAAATAAAAAATCTTTTTCTTAAAAGGTAAATGTTTTGCATATGCTCTGGAACCACTATACAAGTCAATTGTGAAAATAACAATAGCTTAATACCTTTTATGTGGAAGTATATATACAGAAGACTAAAAATCCACTAAGTGTTTCAGCAACATATAATAGAAGACTTATATCTTAAAATACTTAGTAGTAAGGAGCCCTGGTGGTGCAAAAATCAAGCACTCAGCTGCTAACCGAAAGACTGGCAGTTCGAACCCACTCATCAGCTTCACGGGAGAAAGACCTGGTGATCTGTTCCTGTAAAGATTACAGCCTAAAAAACCCCTATGGGGCAATTTTACTCTGTGACATGGGGTTGCTGTAAGTCATAAATCGACTGGACAGCACCTAACAACAAAAGAAATAAAGTCAACCTTTTCTCCCTTTAAAGTACAAAGAATCAATAACCTTGTTACAAAACAGCCTTTTTAAAAGTGAAGTTGGCACGTTTTGTAAATTAGGAATTAATCTATGGAATATCTAAATAAAGGAGCCACTGTACTTTGAATAAAGTTAAATGTAAATTTGGAAACTTCTTTCTTAACATTCCCAGATCACAAACATTAGAACAGCTTTCACTATTTATGTAAGGTCATATTACATTGAATAAATTAAGAACTTTGCAATTAATATTTTGGGAAGTTCTTTTAAGTCTTTTGTCATTGACTGTGAAAAACGGGGCTTTCAAGCAGTCAGTCACATGAACTGAAAAGTTAACATACTGCTGAACCGTAGGCTTGTAGCTCCATGGTATCTTTCGGAGAAGGTGTATTTCTTGACATATGGCAATCAAAATTAGGAGAAGGATCCAAACAAACTTTGTTTTTATCTACAGAAGGCTGAATTTTCTTCACTTTTCCAAAGAGAACCTAAAAGCAAAAAGTTAAAAACAAAAACAAAAAAACATTTAAAAACGCTTACATATTTGGAACACAAATTAAGGCTAACACTATTTTTAAGGAATTTAGAGAGATGAATGGAGAGACAATCCATGTCCCAGATGAATAGGGTGACTTGAAATTGAAATTCTGCCAATTCTCTTCCCAAATTAGAGTAAATTAGAGTAACTGCAAAAAAAAATTTTAAAAACTATTTTTAGAGATGATTTTTAGTCTAAAAACTATTTTGGAAGACTAAACAAACAAGAATAGCCTAGAAACTTAAAAAAAAAAATCTTTGGGTCAGAGACAAGAGAACAGGGCAGGTGACCAGCACTTCCAGATATTTAAATCATGTTTTAAAAGGCTGGCACTACTACAAGGAAAGGGGAAAAAAAAAGAACAAAATACAAAGTCCAGAAATAAATCCAAGCATACACGAAAATGTAGTATAATAAAAAAGATACCATTTGAAATTAAGTGAAGCAAGAAAAATCAATAAATGGCCCGAGACAATTGAAAAACTTATTTTTATCTGTAATACAAAAAAATACCAATCAAGTTAAATATTTACATATTAAAAAAATAATGAAAATATTGTAGAAATATAGGCAAATATTTGTCTACTTTCAAGTGGTAAGTCTTTTCTAAGCATGCATAGCATGAAATTATCAACCAAAAACTCATAGACTATAAAATATTCTAAAACTCTATACATCAAAAACAAGTATAATTTTTTTTAAAAGCCATAAACGTAATTAAGCAGCAAAAGACAAGCTGGAAGAAAGTACCAACAAATATGACAAAAGTTTCACATTTTATTTAAACTCAGCTATTCTATTATTATTATTTTTTTAATAGGTTATTTATTTATTCAAAAATCAAAACAACTCATTCAAAAATAAAAACAATAATTCATTCAAAAACGTAATGGGGTTATCCTGGATTGGATTCTGGAACAGAAAAGACACTGGTGGGAAAACTGGGAGAGGCCCAATGCAGTCTGTTTAGATAACAATAATAAACCAATGTTCAATCAGTGTTAGGTGAAACTGGGTGAATTATACACGGAAATTATCTTTGCAACTTATCTGTTAAGTCTAAAAATTATTCAAAAACAAAAAGTTTATTAACAAACAAACAAATAGTAAAACATTATATGGAGGAAAAGGAGCCCTGGTGGCACAATGGTTAAGCGCTCAGCTGCAAATTGAAAAGTCAACTGTTCAAACCCAGCCAGTGGCTTCACGGGAGACAGATCTAGCTATCTGCTCCCATAAAGAATACAGCCTAGAAAACCCTATGGGGCAGTTCTACTCTTTCACAGGGGGTCACTGTTCCACTTGAAAATCGACTTGATGGCACCTGATGACAACAACATACAGAGGGAAGTCCAGCTCTCAAAATACACGTTAACGAAATATAATGCCTACAAATCAAACAGGAAAACTAAGAAAAAGAAAGTAAGAACTGGCAAAAGATTAACAGGCAATTCACTAAATATAAATAGTCTACAAATATATACAGAATATTTAAATTCAGAGAAAAGGAAAAAAAATTGAACCAGCAATGATAAACTATCACATAACACACTGGCAAACAAATTTAAAAAAGCATAATAGCTACAGTCAGTGACGGTGTGCAATAACAAGCATTCCCACATACTGTGATGGAAATGTCAACTAGTACAACCAAGAAGCTGGACTACAAGAGGAAGATGGCATCAGGATAGCGGAAGATTCATTAACAACCTGCAATATGCAGATGACACAACCGTGTTTGCAGAAAGCAAAGAGGACTTGAAGCACTTACTGATGAAGATCAAAGACTACAGCCTTCAGTATGGATTATACTTCAACATATAGAAAACAAAAATACTCACAACTGGACCAATAAGCACCATCATGATAAAGGGATAAAAGATTGAAGCTGTCAAGGATTTCATTTTACTTGGATCCACAATCAACGCTCATGGAAGTAGCAGTCAAGAAATCAAATGACGTGCTGTATTGGGCAAATCTGCTGCAACAGACCTCTTTGAAGTATTAAAAAGCAAAGATGTCACTTTGCAGACTAAGGTGCATCTGACCCAAGGCACGGTATTTTTAATTGCCTCATCTATGTATGCAAAAGCTGGACAATGAATAAGGTAGACCTAAGAAGAATTGATGCCTTTGAATTATGGTGTTGGTGAAGAATACTGAATATACCACGGACTGCCAGAAGAACAAACAAATTTTAGAAGCAGTACAGCCAGAACGTTCCTTGGAAGCGAGGATGGTGAGACTTCATCTCACTTACTTTGTACATGTTACCATGAGGGACCAGTCCCTGGAGAAGGACATCATGAATGGCAAGTAGAGGGTCTGTGAAAAAGAGGCGGACCCTCAACGAGATGGACACAGTGGCTGCAACAATGGGCTCAAGCATAAGAATGATTGTGAGGATGGTGCAGGACGAGGCACTGTTTTGTTCTATTGTATATAGGGTCGCTATGAGTGGGAACCAACTCATCCGCACCTAACCACCACCACTACCTTTCTCAAGGAGCCCTGGTGGTGCAGTGGTTAACTGCTCAGCTGTTCATCAAAAGGTCATGCTTCGAACCCATCAACCACTCCATGAGAAAAAGATGTGGCACTCCGCTTCTGTACAGATTACAACCTTGGAAACCCTATGGGGCAGTTCTACTTTCAGAGGACAACTGTGTACTACATACCAAACGTTGTAAAAGTGTATCTAAGAATTAACCGATTAATTCTTAGCAAATAATAAAAAATCTGTGTAAGAATATACCTACAAGGATGATCCAAGTAGTATTTAGAAGAGCAAAACAAAAACCACCAAAAACCAGGCAAGTTTATGATAGAGGTTCACTAGGGAATACCATGCAGCCATTAAAAATAGTATTAGAGAGAATATTTAATAGCATAGAAAAGTTGATTTTATAATCAGTGAAAAAGGCAGGTTATATTACATAAAGAACATATCTTAATTACAATTACACATGCATTATCTGTATACATAAACAGAAGATTAAATAAAAATATACAAAAAAATTAACTTATTAATGGGATTTTGGAGCTTTTTAGTATGTTCCAAATTTCTAACATTAATGTATTAATTTTTAATATAAATATTTATGTATTTGATGTATAAAATATAAGAAGTATACCAGATGAACTGTTGGTGGTATGTGGATACACACACATCCCAAGTAGTCCTTACACAAATGAGGACACTGACTATTACTGTTGATTTTAGTAGTTCTGGCAAAACAGCAATTAAACCAAGAGTAAATCTTAAAATCAATTTGTTAATGATTGAGATTCTGCTGTCAGTCACTGTTTCTGCTTTGAAATAATATTAGACTCTCAGAAAAGTTGCCAAGTCAGTTCAGAAGTCCCATATATGCTGTATCCAGCTCTCCCTAATGTTAACATCTTACATAACCATGGCACAACTATTAAAACTAAGCAATTAACATTGCTGCAAATATATTAAACTGTAAAAGTTTAGTAATTTAGTTTAATTCAGAATTATTAAAACAATGTTTCAGAGAAAGACACTTAAAACGCTACGGTATGAATTATGGTCTGGACAAAAGAGGGAAAGAGAAAAGGGTCAATCAGGACAGAAAAAGATGTACACTGAGAAGACGAAGATGATAAAGACAGTCTTTACTTACTTGGAATTTTGCTTTGTGCTGTACACCCAAGTAAAGATACAGGTATAGAGGAAAATTTCCAATGAAGATAGTAACAATCATAAATGTAAGTATTATTTATTTTATATAACATAATTTAAAAACACTAGTAATTCTCACTGAAAAGAAAACATATTCAGATAAATTTGGAGCAAACTATGACATTTAATATTTGGTTTATGCTACCTACCTTAAATATTATAATACTTTCTACAGCACTGTTTCTAGTATGAGCATAATTCAAGGCAACATCAACATGTCGAAATACATAAATTCCAAGAAGAGGATTTCCTAATATCTTTAATGTAGATGCTTTGGTACTTATTCCATTCTGATATATTTCAGCCACATCACTTTGAGGCAGTGCTAAAAAGCAGAAATGTTCTTCCAGTTCTCTCCCATGTCTTCCACTCTCACGCATCTCTGCCCTGAAACAAAATAATGTGCAGTTAAATGAGAACCTCCGTAGAATTTTCAAGGTGAAGGTAAATATTTCAGCTTACCACAGTTAGAAAACAATAAAATTAATGAAAACATTCAGACACGTGAGCATCCTATGCTAACAAAGTTAGGCTGAAAGCCATCTATGAATTCAGGAAGGGGATAGATTACTATTTGTCCAGAATTCAAGGTTCACGTTCTAAGCCAGGATAATAAGAGCTAACATTTCTCGAATGCTGTTTATGTGCCCAGTAATGTTAAGTCTTAAGCTTTACATGCATTTTGTCATTTCATTCTCAACTACTCGAGAAGGTGATGTTATTATTTTTATTGCTACGCACATTTTAAAAATGAGGTTCAGAAAGCTGAAACTTGCCAAAGTAACAGAGCGGTCAAGTTGGAATTATACATGTCAACTCTTACCAGGTTCCAGAGCATAAGCTCTTACTAATTATGTTATGGAGAGAAAAATATGTGTTTCCTTAAATGAAAACTATATATATAAGGTCAATTATTAGGGACAGTCTCCATTATTCAGAGATACATGTAACAGCTAGGAAAAGCAAGTTAAGATTTTACTACAAACTCCTATTTTATTAGTAAGAAAAGTATGAATCATCTTCAGAAAAGATTATAATCTAAATCCAACCGTATCAATAATTACATTAAATGTAACTGATGTAAATACTAACATTAAAAGGCAAAGATTTTCAGACTGGATATAAAAAGCAAAACCCAGTATTATATTGTCCATAAGAAACTAAAAATAAAGACATATGTTAAAAGTAAAAGAACGAAAACAGATATACTATGTAAACACAAAAGAAACCTGGAAATGGCCTTATTAATATCAGATAAAACAAATATCAGAACAAAGAATGTTACCAAAGATAAAGACGACCATTAAATAATTATAAAGGGCTTAATTCACCAAGAAATCATAATCATAAATGAAACAACAAAAACTTGACAACAATCTAAATTTATCAGTATGAGACTGTGTAAAAAAAATAAACCTTTTTTTGCATATAACGTGCCCACATAAATAACATGCCCATACACATAACACGTGGAAATGATGAAATTAAGTAACATACTTCTGGAACAGAGCGCCCACGCATACACCACGCATTTCTCGTGACACTTCCAGAAGCAAATTTCAGCCTTACTCATCCTCCCAAATTACAGGTGAATCTTATCATTCTGTTCATTTACTTTCATTCTGCTCAGTTTTCTTTAATCTCCTGCTTATGCGTATAAAAGTAGTCCAAAAGTGTTACTTTTGATAATAACTGTATATGAGGTATAAGCCACGTTCAAGAAATCATGGACTGAGTTTGGTAATCCCCCGGTAATCGGAAAATAAACAATCAAAACTGTGTGTTTTTTATTAATTAACTTTAAGTAATATAAAATCAATACCTACCTTAAGTGAAGTTTCCATGTAATCAGAAATAAAAATTGAAGTCAGCAATATGTAAAAAAAAAAAATTGGCATAGTGCACTTACAAAAATAACAGGTGGGAGGACTGTGCAGCTGGCAACAAACATACAATGCTTGCATTATCTGCATAAAAAACACAGTAGTACATTCATGTAATGAAATTACTGATTTTTTTTAAACGAGGAAGCTCTCTAGGTACTGATGTTAAGTATCTACAACACTCATTAGTAAGTAAAAAAAAAAAAAAAAAGCAAGACTCAAAGGAGTGAGCCACTGTTTATCTAAGGCAAAGATGAGGAGAAATATACATATTTGCATCTGTTAGTGTATGTGCAGTAAATTAATATTGTACGTAATTGAATGTAAGATGCATCAATTATAAGCTGCACCGTTATTTTATGACCAACAAAAGTGTCAGCACATTGATATGACACAATATTGATTCACTAGATATATTCTGATAGCAGAGTTAATGTGGAAAAATGTGCATTTATGAATGAATAAAATTGTGGTTACCTCAGAGGGATAGAGGTAGGTGGGGTAGAACTATTTTGATAAGGTATATAGACGGGAGAATTTTTGTTTGAGAGTTTTTATTAGTTTTAAATTTTGAACAGCATGTTGTTAGTTTCGTTGAGTTGATTCCGACTCCTGGCGACCCTATGTACAACAAAAAAAACACTGCCCAGTCCATCCTCACAATCGTTGCTATGTTTGAGCCCATTGTTGCAGCCACTGTGTTTATCCGTCTCATCGAGGGTATTCCTCTTTTTCGCTGACCCTCTATTTTACCAAGCCTGATGTCCTTCTCCAGGGACAGGTCCCTCCTGATTCTCCCTTACTGACCATCGCATTATCTGACATTTCACATTTACGACAGTAGTAAAAAATCTACAATCCGACTATTTTGCACATTAGTAAGGAGCCAAGGCGAGAGGGCAAGAAGGAAGAGGAGGGCAAGGTTTGTGAGAGGGAAAGGCTGTGCAAGTTGCCAGCCGTTCGTATTACCTGGGTCGGGTGGAGGAGCCGGCCCAGGCCTGTGGCGAGCATGGGGTGGGCAGCTGGCTTGCAAGAGGTGAGGACAGCTGGGCCGCAAGGAGATGGCAGAGCCAGGCAGGGGACTTGGAAGTCTCTTCTTCTGAAGAGGCGTCTCTGCCACCTCTGCAGCCTCCACCGGGCCCAGGTAGCCAGGCCTCAACTGCCTGCAAGCCCAGGAGCCATCCAGCTGCCGAAGCCTGTCTCCGGGGCTGGTGGAGCAGGAAAGTAGAGGGATGAGGCGCAGGGATCCACCTGAAGCCCTGGAGCGCAGCCAGGTGATGATCAGCCCCTGCTGGTCTGGAGTCAGTCGGCAACCCCCATCACCACCACCACCACCTCCAACACTCACGGCTCCGTGGTGGTGGTGAAGGCATAGTGGGGAAGGGGGGACACTGGGCCCACGTGCATCCTGAGATGCACCAGGGGCAAGGCCTCGACTCTTGCATAAAGTTTATTTTTGCATAATGACCTGGTCTTTGGAACCTAACCATGTCGATAAGTGCAAAGTGGGTACATATGTAGGAAATAAACGTGCATCTACAACAGCACAACAAACAACATTATACTTAAAATGGTGAATTAGTGATAATTTTCTCTGAAACTTGTAATGAGACACGGATGCCCACTATCATCACTTCTATGTGCACTGCAATGGACATGTCAGTCACAGCCATAAAGTAAGAAAAAGAAATGATAGGTGTAAGAATTGGAAAAAAATAAATAAAACTGTCATCCAGAGATAAATGGTTGTACATGAAGAAAATCCAAATAAATCTACATTGTATTACAACTAATAAATATCACAAGATTAATGGATACAATATAAACATGCAAAAAAAAATGTGTTATTTCTACGTATCAATCCCCAAAAAGCAGGATTCACAACAGCATTAAAAAAAGAATAAGTACTTAAAAGTAAACATAACAAAGTATATTAAGAACTTTATACTGAAATTTATGTTACTGAAATTTAAAAGGCCTAATAAAATTGAAAGATATACCATGTTCATGGACCAGAAGGCTCAATATTGCAAGATGGCTATTTTTCCCAAATTTATGTACAGATTCAATGCAATTCTAACCAAAAGTCCAGCAAGTATGTGGGGGGGGGGGCCGGGAACTGACCAACTGATTCTAAAATTGGTAGCAAAACCTAAAGGGCTAAGTATAGCCAAGGCAATTTTGAAGAATAAAACTGGAGGACTTAACACCATCAGTTATTAAGACCTATAAAAATAATTAAACCAGTGTGGCTTTGGTACAGGGAATAGGCAAATACACTAATGAACAAAGAAGAATCCAGAAACACAAACACACATATATGGTGCTCTGATTTATGACAGTGGCACCACTCAATTCAGTAAGGGATGGGAATAATCTTTAAATAAATGGAGTCTATTCAATTGTTTAGCAAGATGAGAAAAAAAAAGATGACCTTGACACCTACCTCACATAACATACAACCGCCAACTAAACCTAAAATGTAAAACAACAAAGCTTTCAGAAGTAAACTGAAGACTATCTCTGTGGCTTTCTGGGAAAGCAAAGACCTCTTAAACAGGACACAAAAGAAGCTAATCATAGAGGAAAAATCTGATCTATTTAACATCAAAATTAAGAACTTCTGTTCATCAAAAGACACTACTAAGAGCATAAAAAGGCAAACAACTCTGTGGGAGAAGGCAGTAACATTTGCAACGCTTGTACCTGACAAAGGAAGTTATAACCAGAATATATAAAGAACTCATGGAAATCAGTAAGAAAAAAGGAAACAACCCAACTGAAAAATGGGCAAAGGACTTGACAAAACAGAGTATCTAACCAACGAATAAACATATAAAAAGGCGCTCAACTTCATCAGCAATCAGGGATATGCAAATTAAAACCATCCTGAGATACTACCGCACAACAACAGAATGGCTAAATGGCAAGAGCAATACCACGTGCTGGTAAAGATACAGAAGAACGAATTTATGGTGGGAGTGAAACTTTATACCATCATATTGGACAGTTTAGTAATATCTATTAATGTTAAACATATAGCATATCCTACCACCTAGCAATTACATCCTAGGTAGACACCTAACAGAAAGAAATGTGTATGCATGTTCATCAAAAGACATGTACAGGAATGTTTAAAGGCGAGAACAATCCAAAGTTCCATCAACAGAAGAATGGACAAATCGTGTTATATTCACACAATCGAAATTTATGCATCAACGAGAACTATTGTTGAATGCAACAACTTGGATGACCTTCACAGACAACACTAAAGGAAAACAAGCAAGACACAAAAGAGTATACTGTATTGATTCCATTTATACGAAGTTCAAAAACAGGTAAAACTTACGTTGTTAGGGAAGTCAGGATAGTGGTTACCATTGCTAGGAGGAATAGTGATTGGGAGGGGCACTAGAGGGACTTCTTGAGAGATGTTCTGTTTCTTCATTTGGGCACTGGTTATATGGGTGTATTTAAAAAAAAATAGTTATATGCTTAACATCC